GCAGTTTTGTTAGCCAGAAATTTTACCCCTTTTGCCCTGAAACCCATTCATTTCCTACCCCCCTTCTGGCAAAATGTAATATGATTGGGATCCCCCCTTTTTGACTTAATGAAATTTATAGCTGACCTGTACTTATCTAGCACCCTTTTCTCCTCCCCCTTCCCAATATCATTTCCACCAGACGAGACAGATAAGGGTTTTTGCTCCCTTACCTGACATGTTTTTACCGCGGGTTGACAAGTCCCCAACCCCAGCTCCAGGGAAGCACCTTATTCTCATTTTCTTATTCCTATTACAAAAAGCACGGTCAATTATCTTCCCGAGAGTCCCAACCAAAAGAATGCGCTTACCTCCATTAGCGGGGGCGTAGTCCCTTCCTTCACGGCCACTAAGTACTTCATCTGAAGAACGAGAACGATTTCCTACCTTAGATTTTTCACTTTTAATTTTCCCCTTACTCTGTGCGCCTTCCATTATGTGAACAACTCCCACTTGTAGCAGGTGCTGGGCTGCCCCTCATCTGGTACCCGTTGCTGCTCCCCAACTACACCTCCTCACGCGAGAGACAGATGCACCTCGCGCTAGAAGCCTCTTTCCCCACAACTCCAGCCACCTCACCTCTCCCCCCAACCCCATTGAGGTGGCCCTTTCAGCCCCAAATTCCCCCTGGAGAAGCAAGACCTCCTCCTTCAACTCTCCAACCTAAATTTTTTAAAACACTGCAGAAGCAACCATGTTTTGTAACCGTCCACACTAATCCCCAAGGCACCGGGGTCTGGACCTACGTGCACGCCCCTGGTACAGGTGTTGATGGGGAAGATATGATGCTACTGTCAAAAGTTGAACGTCCGTAAGATGAGAATTTCACTTCGTAGTTTTACGTTGGGATAGCTGCTGTTTGGATGCCATTTTAGCCATTTTTAAAAGGGTCAAATTTTTCCCTGTTTGGCACTGAAGAAAAAAAGTCCTACAGACCTTCATTTCCCTTGGGGATTTAGTTGATCAGGTTTTCTGCCGTTGTCTTCCCCTTAAAACGGTGCAAAAGATATGGGGGTCAGTTATTTTTGTAGTGGAAAACGTCTCGTGTTGTTTCACGTCTGGGCAGGGCTGGTTTCTTTAAGCCGGTCCCTTTTGTCTATTTAGCCATTTCGTTGCGTCACCGTCGTTTTTATGTCACTAAGTTTACTTTCATGTTGTTGCACAGTACTTGCAATTTGGCCATCATGGGTTTGGATAGGCCCAGGGGGCGGCAAGATATAGGAGCGCCTTTTTTTTGCTGTTGCTGCGCTGCAGCGGGGGAAACCCCCCCCCCCCTACCAACAAAACCACCAGTCGTTACATTCTTCTTTTCAAATAACAGGGGCAACCAGCAACAAACAAAAAAAAATACCTTTAAACCGTGGACTGTTGCGAGGCAAAAACAAAGTTCGCGGCTTTTACTGGACCCACATAAAGGATCCTTGGACAACGAATATGGTCCCAGGTTACAACCTATACAGATGTGACAGAGTGAACAGACAAAAGGGGGGGGGGGTTTGGCCTGTACATTGCAGAGTCACTTGTTTGCACAGAACTGCTTAATGCCTCAAATGATGTAGTGGAAGTTTTAGCAGAAAAGATCGAGAACCAAAACCTAGTCATTGTGGTAGTCTACAAGCCTCCGGATGCAACATCCCAGCAATTCCAGGAACAGCTGTTAAAATTGATCACTGTCGGAAAATCTTCCAGCTCCTGCACCCAACTCTTGCTCCTGGGGGATTTCAACTTAAGGCACCTAAAATGGAGGGGAAAATAGCAAATATTTTGTTGCAGTAATAACACCAGGAGGCAGCTCTGATGAAAACTCACACTCACACAGCTTTTAAATCTCTGCAAAAATTTAATTTAAACAAACAAATAATAGAGCCTACTAGAAAGGGGAATACACTGGGCCCCAATCTTCACTAACAATGATGATCTGATAAGAAATGTCACCATATCAAAAACAATATACTCAGATCACAACATAAATGAGGTTCAGACATGTATGTGTGGAGCCCCAGACCGACATATTGAGACTAGTCACGAGGGAGCATTCACCAAATTCAACTTCAATAACAAAAACATAAAGTGGGACCAAGTAAACCAAGTCCTAACTGATATAAGCTGGAAATATATACTAAGCAACACAGACCCCAACTTATGCCTAGAACAGATTAACTTGGTGGCACTCGATGTATGCACAGGGCTTATTCCTTTAAGAAAAAGCAGGAGTTTACCTGGAGAGAGTTCCGGGGGTCAACGCCCCCGCGGCCCGGTCTGTGACCAGGCCTCCTGGTGGATCAAAGCCTGATCAACCAGGCTGTTACTGCTGGCTGCACGCAAATTAATGTACGAGCCACAGCCCGGCTGATCAGGAACCAACTTTAGGTGCTTGTTCAGTGCCAGCTTGAAGACTGCCAGGGGTCTGTTGGTAATCCCCCTTATGTATGCTGGGAGGCAGTTGAACAGTCTCGGGCCCCTGACACTAATTGTATGGTCTCTTAACGTGCTAGTGACACCCCTGCTTTTCATTGGGGGGATGTTGCATCGTCTGCCAAGTCTTTTGCTTTCGCAGCGAGTGATTTTCGTGTGCAAGTTCGGTACTAGTCCCTCTAGGATTTTCCAGGTGTATATAATCATGTATCTCTCCCGCCTGCGTTCCAGGGAATACAGGTTCAGGAACCTCAAGCGCTCCCAGTAATTGAGGTGTTTTATCTCCATTATGCGTGCCGTGAAGGTTCTCTGTACATTTTTTAGATCAGCAATTTCACCTGCCTTGAAAGGTGCTGTTAGTGTGCAGCAATATTCCAGCCTAGATAGAACAAGTGACCTGAAGAGTGTCATCATGGGCTTGGCATCCCTAGTTTTGAAGGTTCTCATTATCCATCCTGTCATTTTTCTAGCAGATGCGATTGATACAATGTTATGGTCCTTGAAGGTGAGATCCTCCGACATGATCACTCCCAGGTCTTTGACGTTGGTGTTACGCTCTATTTTGTGGCCAGAATTTGTTTTGTACTCTGATGAAGATTTAATTTCCTCGTGTTTACCATATCTGAGTAATTGAAATTTCTCATCGTTGAACTTCATATTGTTTTCTGCAGCCCACTGAAAGATTTGGTTGATGTCCGCCTGGAGCCTTGCAGTGTCTGCAATGAAAGACACTGTCATGCAGATTCGGGTGTCATCTGCAAAGGAAGACACGGTGCTGTGGCTGACATCCTTGTCTATGTCAGATATGAGGATGAGGAACAAGATGGGAGCGAGTACTGTGCCTTGTGGAACAGAGCTTTTCACCGTGGCTGCCTCGGACTTTACTCTGTTGACTACTACTCTCTGTGTTCTGTTAGTGAGGAAATTATAGATCCATCGACCGACTTTTCCTGCTATTCCTTTAGCACGCATTTTGTGCGCTATTACGCCATGGTCACACTTGTAGAAGGCTTTTGCAAAGTCTGTATACATTACATCTGCATTCTTTTTGTCTTCTAGTGCATCAAGGACCTTGTCGTAGTGATCCAATAGTTGAGACAGACAGGAGCGACCTGTTCTAAACCCATGTTGCCCCGGGTTGTGTAACTGATGTGTTTCTAGATGGGTGGTGATCTTGCTTCTTAGGACCCTTTCAAAGATTTTTATGATATGGGATGTTAGTGCTATCGGTCTGTAGTTCTTTGCTGTTGCTGTACTGCCCCCTTTGTGGAGTGGGGCTATGTCTGTTGTTTTTAGTAACTGTGGGACGACCCCCGTGTCCATGCTCCCTCTCCATAGGATGGTAAAGGCTCGTGATAGGGGCTTCTTGCAGTTCTTGATGAACACGGAGTTCCATGAATCTGGCCCTGGGGCAGAGTGCATGGGCATGTCATTTATCGCCTGTTCGAAGTCATTTGGCGTCAGGATAACATCAGATAGGCTTGTGTTAACCAAATTTTGTGGCTCTCATAAAAAATTCATTTTGATCTTCGACTCTCAGTCTGGTTAGTGGCTTGCTAAAAACTGAGTCATACTGGGACTTGAGTAGCTCACTCATTTCCTTGCTGTCATCTGTGTAGGGGCCCAATACTGGATGTTGTTCTCGACTTTGATTTGGCATAGAAGAAATACTTTGGGTTTCTTTCGATTTCATTTATGGCTTTTAGTTCTCCCCGCGATTCCTGACTCCAATAAGATTCCTTTAGCTTGAGTT